CCCACAACGGCGCCGCCCCTCGAGCGCAGGAAGCCGCCGGGCGCCCAGGCCGCGGCGCAGCGCGGCGGGAGGAGCCCCGAGCAGCGCGGAAGGAAAAGCGAAAGCAGCCGCTCTCCCGATCCGAGCCTGGAAATCGGGGCGCCGGGAAGAGGAGCGCGCTGCCCCCCGCCCCTCGGAGGGAAACACCGCGTGGAAGGCGCCCTGCAGGGAGACCGCAGCCTCCCCGGAGCGTGCGGGGCTCCCAGGCCGAAAGCGCCGGCTGCGCTCTGCTCAGTCACTGCGCTGCCTTTTGGAGAGGGAGAGCGAAAGTGTGTTTTCCCGTTAGGTAACTGACGCCGCCACGCTGGCCAAAAGCCCACCAACGTGACTTTGGAAAATGTCGCGCGTGTTCTGAGTTAGGAGGCACCAAAAAGCGGGCGTTACTTAGTACTTAGTACTTAGTACTTAGTTACTTAGTACTCTTAGAGCTAAAAGAAAGTCAAAGAAACGGGGAAGAATTAGTCCTAAATCCAGTTCTCTTGTGTTCAGAACTTCCTGTGAGTGTGGATGTCCAGGCCTCCAAAGTTAGAAAGGTCGGGAAGCGGGGTCTGCTGCGGGGATGTAGCGCCCTGGCGGAGCAGTACCCTAGCAAGCTGGCCTGCAAAGGGCCCTGGGTGGGATTCCTTACATAGCAAAACAGCACCAATAATTTTAAAGTAAGCACATCAAAATGATGTACTTTTCAGGAAGAAAAGCTTCAGAAAGAACCCTGCACACAAGGCTTAGGGAGAGCGCTCTATTGACCTCAGGCATCTGCCCTCAAAATCAGCTAGAGGACAAGATTAAACTAGAATTTAAAGTCAGGCCTGCTGGCTCACACCTGTAACCCTTGCAATCTGTAATCCCAGCAAGAAGATTGCAAATTCTAGCCCAACCTGAAAAATTTAGCGACTGGGCAAAACCTCTTTAAAAAAAGATTGGGATGTAGCTCGGTGCGAAGGCCTTTGCTTCACTTCCTGTACCAAGAGGGTGAAAACAGGAATTTGGTACTTCATAGTTTTTGGTATGTGTTTTCCTCATTGGATAAGTCAGCCACATGATAGCTTTGAAGTGGATAAAACGGTGGCCATGCTCTTGAGGGAGAAGGTTTGAAAGTGAGAGGAGAGCTTTCCTGGAATCAAACACATAGGACATGGTGAGCCAGGACTTAAACTGCCTCTCCTGACATGGGCTTCCATTCTTCATGCCGTTCTGCCTCAGTCAGAATTACTTCAGTGAGGGAGCAAATTCAATCTGAACGTATTGTCAGTGTTTGTTGTAATAACTTCTAGTTTTTACACGGGAGTACTAAAATATTTACAGTTGAAACGAAACCAAATAAGATGATAGGATGGTTGAATTTACTTCAGAGTCCTCTAGTGGTGGAGGAGAGGGTAAAATGGGTGGAAGTGGCAAGGAAAAAATCACTTTGGAATTGATCATCGTTGAAGATGAGGGAGAAGTCACGTGACCCACTGTACTTTTCTCTCTATATGTAACTTTCCATTATGAAAAGAGAAAACTGCCACTGTATGACCTTCATCGGGCATGCAATGCATCCTTTCCTGACTTCTGAGTTTATTTCAGCTTCTGACCATAAAACAAGTGTCACAGATGTCCCTGAGCATTCTCCTTCCTGTCCCTCTGCCTCTGCTTCTTCCTTACCAGTCCACTGAGTTGCTACCTTGCAACTGAAACCTACCTCCCCTCTTCCAAAAATAGCAAAGCAATGAATCAAAGAAAAGGGTCTCTCTCTCCTTTCCTCAAGGCATCAATCCATCCACTGTCTACTTATTGCCTGATATTGACTAGGCTTTGATTTGGCAGTGGTGTGGTATGAATTTTCTGTTGGAAATATTCACCCATGAATTACTATACTAGTCAAGCAAAATACCCCGGGAGCTTTTAAGAATTTTAATTGATGCAGTAAAATCCCATTTTACCAACCCTTCTGATAATTAACAAGAAGTAAAAGGAAGGCTACAGACATGCATTCAAGATCGAGGTAGGGTTTGGTGGAGAATAAAATGGTGCTGAGACATTCATCAGCTTCCTGGGAAGAAAAGAGAGAAAACTGACATTAGTAATTACAGCAAACACCAAAACAAACTCCAGATAGATTAGAAAGTTAAATAAATAATTTTAAGGAGAAAATTAAGTTAATAGTTATTTAATTTTGGCATGAGGAAACAGAAAAGGCACAGAAGATTGATGTATTGATCCAGTCAGTGACTTCGTAAAGGTTTCTGCAAAAAAATAAAAAATAAAGACAACACTCTGTAATGTGGGGCATTGGAATACATCAATCGGCCCTAATTTTAAAGTTTTTATAAATCACTGAGGTAGGCAGCCTTCCACACCTATGCCATGAGAAAAATGGGATTAAGCTTTTGAATAGAAAATACACCATAGGGCTGGGGAGACAGCTTAGTAGAATAAGCGCTTGCCTGGCAAGTGCAAGGTCCTGAGTTCAATCCCCAGTACAAAAAAAAAAAAAAAAAGATAAAAAAGAAGATGCATCATAGTGAACAATAAAAGAGATATTAATCTTTATATAAAGATTGTGTTCATACATATAAATGACACTCTCATAAGACAATATGTAAAAAGAACTTACAAATCATAACAGCAAAGAACAGTTTGCAAATAAGCAGAAGCTATAAAAGACCAGCTATATAAGAGGAAATGCCAGTGAGCCTAGTAACTGTGCTAGCGTATGAGCTGAGGAAGTGAGCCCAACCTAGTAAAACTTTTAAAAGATGATCAACTTCATGACTAATCCGGGAAATAAGTTAAAGCCCAGATGAGATACCACTTCATACCCCTCAGATTAAAACAAAATCTAGTTTTATTATACCTGTTATTGGCTGGCATGGAAGCAACCAGAACACTATTTGTACTGAGCGGGGGAGAGTGCATTGGAGAGAGCTTTCTAGGAAAACTGGAATGTATTTACACAAAGCCCCTGCACTTTCACTCAAGCAGTGTTACTTGGAGAAATATGTATGTCCATAAGGACATCTACAAAAGAACATTAATATGTCGTCTTGTCCTTGTAGTCGAAATGCAAACCATTTGAATGTTCATCAACCCTTAACTTGCATATGCTCATTAAATGTGCTTATATTGATCTATGAAAATTATTAGACTAGCGTTCTATGTACCAAATGACTAAATAAAAATATAATTCTGGGCTTTGAAAAAGTTACTGTGAGACACTTATGTCTCAGTATCAACGCTTTAATACTTTAAAATATGTAAGGCTGAATATATTTTAGAGATATATAAACATGTAGTAAAAAAATATAAAACTTGGCAGAGGCTGGAGGATCACTGTAAGTTCAAGGCCAGCCTGGGTTGTATGGTGAGCTCAAGGCCAGCATGAACAGCACAGTGAGACCCTTTCTCAATCAATCAATCAATCCAATTATGCCTGGGAATAAAATTCACCAAACTCTAGTTAGTGGTGAGCTCATGAGAGAAGCAGAAATGCATCTGGAGGAGGTAGATTGGAAGCTACAGCTGCACCCAGAATATGTTTCCTTAAGTTCGTTGTTGGGAACTCATTCCACTATTACTATGCTGCATTTCTAAGCTACTTCTTATTAAAATAATCACATGCATGTTCAACTTCACTATGCTCAAAATAATAACAAATTACCATTGGAAATGACGCACAAATTATCAAAGAAGTCTTTGAAGTTTGGGAGAGAATTTGTTGTGAAGCAGTAATAAATTGTTCATAATATATGTGAAAAAAGTATGATTCCAGAATTTGAACCAGAGCAACATAATGTATACTAATAAAACTACTGGACATATATAAGATGCCCACATAGTGGGTTTTGTTTGTTTTTTTTTTTTTTTTTTTGGTTAGCTGATAGAATTAGGAATGATCTGCATGCTTGTTATACTTTCTTATAGTTTTAAATTTTCCACAACAAATATGTAATATGTGATAGTGGAAAATAAAATAGGGTTAGATGTATAGCTCAGTGCTACAGCATTTACTTCCCCTGTGTCAGGCCTTAAACTGGATCCAGTTGCAGTAAGAAGGAGAATGAGGAGGAGAAGGAGGAAGAAAGGGGAGAGGAGGAAGGAGAGGAAAAGAAAAGAGAAAGAGAGGAAGAAGAAAGGAGGAGCGAGAGGGTGTGTGGGGGAGGAGGAGAAAATTATAAAATAACATCTTTTCTTTTAATAGTAGGACATTTATTTGATGAATATTACTTCAACTCTATTCCACACTAGTAAATATAAGGCAAGACATTTTATATAACTCAAGAAAAACAAAAAAATTACTATTGAATTCCAGCAGATCTTCTGGAGATAGTGTACTTCTGCATAGCCCACAAACAATGACGAAGTAATAGCCCCTGATTCTTAGACACAATGCACTGATGACTGGAAGTTCCATGCAGACAATTGAGGAGGTCCTGTTCTCACCCATTCTTTGTGACAGTCCCCAGCAGGGAGGCGAGATTTCATTACTTGCATGGAGAAATGAATACCTGGAAATGGAAGCTTGAGGAATGAAATGTTCTCCGGAAAAGCCATCCCTAAGAGGCTGAACAGGACCGTGAGCCCCAGCGTTCTCAGACTCGGTCTTTTCCATCATTTTGTTGCTCTTAGGTGAATTTTAATAAACAAGACAGACACGATCTAATCACTGACCTTACACGTACACTTCTCATCAGCTCCTTCTGTAAACTGAAGGCAACTTTTTTTTCTGGTTTTAAAGCAAGAGATAAAAATTTCAACTATACTGGAGGTATGATATTCTTTTCCTATCAGTTGAAATAATCTCTCATTAAAGTCAAAGATGAGCTCCTCTTAGATTAGAACAGCAGAGTGCTTTCACTCTTCACGCTTGGTTT